GCTGTTGAGTAAGGGAGGGGTCGGTATACTATTAGAAGTCTTTTTTCTTTCACGGCAGGGATAGCACAAATGAGTAATGGAAGATCCATGTCCCCACCCTAGCCATGGGTGAGAATCTGACCTACCTTCCTTTTCCCCTTATGTCTTGTCTAGCTCTAAAATCGAACTTCTCTAGCGCCTCAAAGAAAAAAAATGGGCGTAGTAACTCAACCTTCGCCTACATTTAGAGGCAGCGGACCCCTTTTTAAGTCAAATTTATCTTGATCTGCTTTCGGTAAAAGCAATTTGTCTATCCATTAAGCTGAATTCAACTTAAGAAGAAGAACTAATGTAAGGGAGTAAGCCCCTTTTTTCGGTTATTACTTAGTTCTGGTTCTGTACTCCGAAGTGCGAAGAGGCTCATCACTATAATGTCTCGACCAGGTCAAAAGGCTTCTAAGCCCTTGTCCATTCCTTTTAGCCTGAATCTCATCCATCTGCTCTCTTCCAGGGATAGACTATCTAAAAATCTTTCTTTTCTCTCGGTACCTTGGGCTAGCATCCTCCCCTTTAGTCGGCATCTTTCCTCCCGGAATTCACGCCTTCTATTTTTTTTGGGCTGCGTCCCTATCTGTCTAGCATCTTCGTGACGCGTATCCCTTCTATTTGTTAAAGTTAAAGTAAGCACGCGTAACCCATTCCCTAAACCCATCTCCCGACTCAGTTGGACTCTTCAAGTGAGACTCAGGCACTTGTCACTACTCATAATCGTGGTGGTTCTTCTCGTGGACGACGACCTTCTTCTCGCCAACAAGGAGGCCGCAACCAACCTGTTCACAACAATCGCACCTCCTCATATAGAAAGCACATCCTAAATTTTGAGAGCCAGAGTCAGGAGTTTGAGGAGCTGTTTTGGTTTAAGCACTAAGCTCACCTATTTTTGGAATAGATCAAGTTCAGTCCCAGTAGCGAAGGTAGGCGCATAAGTTCATGGGGGAGCGAATACACTCGATCTGGGTATGTTGGCTAAGGAGCTGGGACTGGTGGTTATGGATCTGAAAATCACACTGAATCATTCAATTCTAAAGGGGTTTACAGAGTTCCAACAAAATAAATAGCGAAATAGAAGTTCCGCTCGTTGTGGCCTTGACACAGCGGGAAAGACATGGGCGAGGCGAATAAAGGACTCGAATAAAGGCGTAATCAAATCCTCCATAAATAGGAATTCTATGAAAAAAGCATCCCACACTCTTTCCGATGAATAAGATGCCAATGTTTAAGAAAAGAAGTCGGGTAGTAAATAGGCTAGTAGCTTTTCTCTTTTATATGTGATAGGGCTTAGATACGATACTATAATAGGGCTTTGGAGAACTCCTAGAATGGAATTCCCCTTATGTGAGATCCTAACTAGTACCAGTCTAACTAAGAGTCATCTGCTAGGCCAGCTTCCTGTGAGTAAGCCAGTGCTAAAGAATAGGGCTAAGGAACAAGCTCAAAATTCATTAGGATAGATGCAGTGCCAATTGTAGCGGTGAGTGCTAAGTACTTCGATTAATAGTTTGTAGGATTGCTAGAATAGGAATAGGCTTTTTATTTATAGTAATACTATTTTCTTTATGGCTTGCTTCTTTCGGCCAGCTGATGATCCTTAATTGACATCCTACTCTGTCCTAAAAGCCAATCCATTTGCAGAAAAAAGGTAACCTCCAGCCTGTGATTTTGAAAGTAGTATCTGTCCCTAGTGAGAAAGTCTTCACCAGCCCCAGGAGCTCTAATGCAACCTCCCTTTTTCTCGTCCATCCAGCCAGCCCTTGTAGCAGTACTTTCTAGCCGTAGTACAAGTTACTCTATGGACAGTAGCAGGAGAAGTCTCCTCCTTACCAGTGAAAGTAAAAGTTTAAGGTCAAACCTTTTTTTAGGTCCCTTTGAGCAAGGAGCGGGATAGATCGGCGGGAGAGAGACCTTTTTATAGCCGGTTATGTTCTAGGGTTCCTATAGTTCAAGCAATAAATTCTTATTTCATCCCTTACCTATTAGGCTAGCCAGTCCAGTCTTTGCCTACTCAAAATCAGTCTTTTCCCATCGAATAGCAAAAAAGAGAATTTATTTTTTCTGCCAGTCCTCAAAGCTAGTCATAAGCTCATACAGTTGTAAGCCTTCCACTCAGTGGAACATGAGTTGCCTACTCAATTTGAGTTTGAGTCTAGAGCCATAGCTCTGCCAGCGAGTTCGAGGACTCATATCTTCACCCAGCCAGCTAGTCTTGCTTACTTGGTGAGAGCCTTATGTGGAGCAGCAGCAAGAGAAGGAAGGCAATCTGAACTAGCTGGAGCGTAAATATCAATGGTAGGAACATTAGATAGGTTGGCTAGGAAGACTCTTTATTTAGGTCTAGTTGGGATATTTAATATTAACTCTCTCCTATTTTAGAACTCTCTTTTCTAACTTGCTAACTAGAGCATACACTATAGCTATAGAAAGAAAGCATTCTTCCGCTAGCTAAGAGGTAGGGCTTGCTAAAAGATACGGGCGGCATGGCGCAGAGTTATATTGGTAGTTTGTAAGGGAATTCGTTACTGAGAAGGATTGGGGATGAAAGCGCTGGTACCCCTACTCTGTTTTCTTTCTTTCGCACCCCAGCGTCAGGACCAGACCAATAGCTCACCCCAACAGCTCAGAAGTCCCACCGTACCCCATACCCGGTATATGACAGGAAGTACCCCTCGCACGAATAAAGAAAAAGAACAGGGTCATCGACTCACCGCGAATACAGTTTGTTCGTAATTCCCTTCGCCGATAAGTCGACTTCTTGTTCAGACAGGTTGTGGAAACTAAAGCGATAAGTAGCGAATTGAGACTGCACTCTTTAGGATTGAGAGAAATCGGTAGCTGGAAAGGGTGAAAGCGCACCTAGATGCCATAGAATCCAGTATATTGGTAGCACTGGAATTAGGCTATTTGTCCTTGAATCAGGGTATACAAAAGTAGTCTCCTAAGCCGCTATCAGATTCAATTCATTCCTTTCTCTGTCTGTAAAGCCTCTCATGTTGTCAATCCAGTAAAGAAAGAGTCACTCGTGGTTGTCATAGACTCCTTTCTATCTTATGCGGGCGAGTGCGAGAGGAACCTTGTTCTTGCAACCAGTGCAGAAGTGACGACTCACGCTTCACTGCCAAACTAAATGGTCTCAATTCCAGGATAGAGTTTCTACTGATAGGCTACATTCTAGGAAAGAGTCCTTCTCTCCCCAGCAAATAAAGGCCCCAAGCATTGGTCAATTGGCCTGCACCTAGTTTGAGACATTCCAGCTTTGAAAAAGAAATTCAGTATTATCCTC